GTTAAATTAAAAAAATTTAATGCATAAATAAGTGTACAAAATTTTAAAATATTAAAAATTATTTGATATTTTATTTCATTAATTTAAATGGATGGATAATCATAAAATTATTTTATATATTAATTTGAATTAATAAAATTTAAATAATTTTCAAACTTCTTAAAAATTTATTAACTTAATTTATGTATTAAAAATTTTAAATTTAATAATTTACTTATTAAAATTTTATATAGAATATAAGTTATTAAATAAAGTAAATTTAAATAAAAAAATAAATATATGTATATATATAATTGACTTAATTTATGATAAAAATGAAAAAAAAGGTCATAGACAAACAGTTTGTAAGCAACTGTTTATTCTAACAACGTAATAAATAATAGCAACAAAATAAAAAAAATATTACAACAAAAAAAAAATTACAAAAATATTATATTTATTAGTAACATGGAAATACCCTTTTAAATTAAGAAGTCTTGGTCAAAAACTTCTAAGCTTGAGAAAGAACAAGCAATCCGGCCAAGTGACACCTAGGCAAGGTGGGCGGTTCATGGACTTAATTTTGTTCCAACCGGTTTTGAAAAATAGTTTATTTGGTTTAGTTAAGTTCATCCAATGTGAATGGAACTTAGCTAAATCAAATCTATGAAAAATTAAGAGCAAAATGAGTCTAATATGTAAAATTTTTCCTAGATCCATCTCTGGCCCAATTGCTAGTAACACTCTCTAGCTTGCTAATGCCACTCCCAATCCTACTACTAGAAAAATAAGAAAAGAGTGTATTTCTAGATTAGGTTAAATGGAGTCAAAGTGCCCAAGTAACCTACCCTAGAAACAATATACAATAGCTAATAAAAGGAAATAAAGTGCCTCACAAATATAAAGGAAAAATACACCTATATAAGTATCTACTATATACACGGTACAAGAAATCAAACTATACAATGTATGTACAATGGAAACTCAAGAGACTAATAAGAGGAATCATACTCAATACTCATATTGAGCATAGGTCTAAGAAGCACCTCCTCTGTAGAAGCCTCCTCTAGCCTCCTAACCATGGACCTAGTTAAAGGCCCAATGGTCTTCAAGTGTGAGTCTCCTTGGATAAACTTTTCACCTTTCTTGGTCTTACCTCTTCCAAAGGGGTCCTTGGGGATTAGATTTCCATCACAATGGCTTTCTCTTCTTTTCATGTGTTAGTCTTCTTCAATGGTGAAATCACTCAAACAAAAGAAGGGGATACTTTTGTATCCTCTAACCCTATGTTTTTATAAGTTAGTTCACGTATCACACTTGATGCGTTGAAAGCTAAGATCCAAAGAAAACTCAACTTCCCACATTCAGTTGATCAACCTTACTTTCTATATCCACCAATGGTAGGTGGAGGAATGCTTAATTTCTGAGATGTCAAACTTACCGATGATGAAGAAATTCATGGTATGATTCAAATGGTTCGTGGCCTTAAACTTCTTACTTCTGCTCAACTATATGCGGATCTCATACCAATAAATTCTTCCTATGAAAACCAACCTTTCTTCCTATGAAAATCAACCTTATTCATATGAAAACCAACCCTTTTATTATCAAAACCATCCTTCGTTAGACAAATTTCATCCACACACAAGTTCATTCACCCACCTAAACAACGATCCATTACCACATGGATCCTTTACCAATCTCCTTACATTTGGAATCCCACAAGAAGAAGAAGAAGAAGGAGTCCTTGAAGTTGGAGTTCCTGAAGAAGAAGTTGGTCCTTTCAGTGAGGGCGAAGACGATGCAAGACTCCAACAAGACGATGAACAAGACGAACGAGATCTTCTTCTACAACAATCTCAGCACGTAAGCACTTTTCCCACATGCATAATGTTGATTTACAAATAGATTTCACCGACCTAGAGTATAGACATGCACTTGACCATGTTAATGTCGAGTACAATCTTGACACCCTATTTCAAGGCATGACTTTCAACACAAAGGAAGAAGTCCAACATGTTTTAAATGCACACCATATAAAGAAACGTTTGTATTACATGGTGGAGATATCGTCACCAACATTAATTATTGCATTGTGTGTTAACATTGCATCTGATTGGAGGTGTATAGCGGCTTTTATTACTAGAAGCAAAAAATGGGAGGTCCATAAGCTATCAGGTGATAGACCATGGGCCATGGGCCTAGTTACCAGAGCTATGGCTAGAAGAATACAAGAAGAGTTGGACCTCTTGAAGACTAGTGGGCTTCTTAAGTCCAAGGTATTCTTCACTTGGACAACTCTATCATTAAGAGAAGGCCTAGTTCTATTTGTATAAAGTTTGTACATAGTTCTCTTGTTTTAGTGTATTTTTGCCTTTGTATTTGTAAGGCACTTTACTTGCCTTTTCTAGTGTTTATATATTGATTTTAAGGTAGGCTACTTGGAGAGTTTAACTCCATTTAACCTCCCTAGTTGATGTATTCATTTTGTATTTTTTCAGTAGGGAAAAAGGGGTGACATTTAGCAAAGCTAGGGAGTGTGCTTAGAAATTGGGTCTGAGTTGGGCCTAGGCAAAATTTTGCATATTGGACTCATTTTTCTCCTAATTTTTCATAGATTTGATTTAGCTAGGTCTCATCATCATTTGATGAACCTAACTAAACCAAATCAATAATTTTTGAAACAATTCAAAGGAGAAAATGAAGCCATGGCCGCCTAGCTCTTAGAAATTGGGCCTGAGTTGGGCCTAGGCAAAATTTTGCATATTGGACTCATTTTTCTCCTAATTTTTCATAGATTTGATTTAGCTAGGTCTCATCATCATTTGATGAACCTAACTAAACCAAATCAATAATTTTTGAAACAATTCAAAGGAGAAAATGAAGCCATGGCCGCCTAGCTCCTTCACTCCTCCTTGGCCGAAATTTCCATGCTACACTCTTGGGTTTTGAAGCTTCTCCTCCAAGTTTATAAACCTTGGTAGGGTTGGCTGACCTTACCATGGTTCTTAAGTGAACCATGGTCAATGTTAGCTTCTCCTACAAGTTTTAGAAACCATGGATGGTTAGCTACACCTTACCATAGTTCCTAGTGAACCATGGTTAAGGTTAGCTTCTCCTAGAAGCTACCTCTCCCTATATATTTGTAAATCCTTCACTTGTACTCACTTTTGACAAATTTGAGAAATAAACTTCAGATTTCTCTCTCAAGAGTCTCTCCAAAATCGTAGAGAATTTTATCTCTAGGTTCCTACCAAAGGTTCTTCAACCTTTACCTTGGTTCCTTAAGCTTCTACAACAAGCTAGGAGTAACCGAATCACCTCAAGGCTTCTTCTCCATTGAAGACTTCTTCGTGGAGTTTCAAGCTTCCTCTAAGGTCTACCTCAAGAGTTCACGGTCCTAAGCATGGAGAGCTTGGAAGAACATCATTCTCCTCCAAGTAGTTCCATCATTTTTGGTATCTAGAGCCTAGTGTTCTTGAGGTTTTGTGTTCTAACTTTTTTTTAGTGAATTCGTGTTGTATCTTCCTTCTATTACATGTCTTCTTATGTTTGCTGAATGGATCTAGATTTTATACACACTTTGATGGATCCAAAATGTCACATAATAATTGTTTGATTCATATTTGCTTGTTCTTCTAATTCTTGAATCAAACCGGTTTTGTTGTGCTTTAGGTTCCTACACTTGTGCGTTTTTGTTTTTTGTTTGAGTCTCTCCATTCTATAACATGTGTCTGTGATTGGACAACATTCATTGAGCATAGATTTTATTTTTGAATCACTTGTTTTGTCATAGAATTCATGTGTAGTCCTTTTGCTTGTTGAAACTTCCTAGACTAGCTTATTTAACCTAAATTTTTTTGTGATTGATTGTGTCCGAAATTTTTATGTATTTTCTTATTGAATCTGAACCTTACCTATATGTGCTTTTGTTTTACATATTTGAGTTCATAATTTGCTATTAGTTCTAGCAAATTTCCTAGAGTTAGGTTTCTATTATGTCTAGTTAAAAGTTTTGTCAAAAAAATTCATAAACATTATTTCCTATTAGGTTTTCCTTGAGTCTTTTGTGTGGCTGAAACCTATTGCAATTTTTGAAACATTAAAACAGAGACAAAACAGAGGTGTAAGTGTTCTAAATGCATGAGAAAAACAAAAGAATGAGTGCTTAAAAATTTGACCTAAAAACAATACAAAATTGTCAAGCACTAGTTATAAAATGCATGTGAACACCTCTTGTTTTGTGTGAAATTTTTGCTGCATTTTTTAGTAGCCTAAATCCGAGACTTATATGTGTTAAAAAGGCATTTGAAATCCTGATCATTAAAAGAAAAAGAAGTGAAAAATATATTGCAAAAAAAAAGAAAGAAAATAGCAAAAGAAAAAGCCAAAAGGAGCGAAAAACTAGTTTACTAGCTCTCGGTTTTTGGTGTGTGTTCGTACTCAAATTTTCAGTCCAGCCACATAATTTGTGTCTTATTTTTGTTTCTAATCTTAGATTTGTTTTTGTAATCCACTCTAGTGCCTTTGATAGGTTATCTTTTGTGTGCTAGCTTTCTAAATTTTCCTTAATTGTTGCTTGTCATTTTTGTGGAATTCCTTCTAGTTTGTCTCATCTTACTCTACCATTTGGTGTAGCCATTCTAAATTGTGCCTTTTCAGTTTTTACACTAATACTCCAGTCTTGAAGGTGGTTGAGTGCTTCTTAAAAGGTGTAGGAGGCCAAGTCAAGGAAAGTCAACTTGAAGGCTTTGGTGGTTGCTTAGGGAGCTTGTTTTCTCTTGGTGGCAAGACTCTTGAAAACACCTAAGAAGTGACCATCATCAAGGTTGCTTCTAAAGAGGAGTGAAACACATTGAGAGGTTGCAAGTTAGGTGGCTGAATTGGAGCAAGAAGGAGCAAAATTGTTTGTGAAAATTTTGTGAAGGAATTAGTAACAAATTTAGTGACGGAAATTTGTCTTCAAAAATTTTCAATACCAAATCCGTCACTAAAATTGTCACTAAATTAGTGGCTGAATTTTGTTTCTAAAACTCTTAGTGCAGCCACTAATTTCATTTGATTGTGAATTTAATTTTATTTGGAGTGTAAATTTGCATTTCAAAGGCGCAGTTCGGGGTTGAGAGATCGAATGCCCCTCTTCCTCATGCAGGTTGCTTGCTTGAGGAGGATGATTAGAAGGGCGCCGAGGGAGCTAGGCGCGAATCCGCTCGTTCTCAACGCGCAGTGTCGCTAGGTCAGCCTCATTAGCGATCCGCATCACTGTGAGGTCAGTTTCGTGCTTGCCACGCATGTTTTGCAGATCGGCGTCGTGTTGTTGCCGCATCTGTTTGACCCGGTTGATCAGTCTCCTCAATGTGGCTTCGTTATCCATGGTAGATGTATGATCTAGGTCGTCTGTTGCGCGTCTGCTATGGCTTCTGGTGCAAACCATAAGCGTGGCCGATAAGAGTTGTCTTGATCGGCCCCACGGTGGGCGCCAAATGTTCTTACCGAAGATCGGTGGTAGGGACAATCTGCTGGGTAAGGTCGGTGAGCCTCCTTCACTGATACGTTTGATGCTCCGAGATGGGGGTGGTACCTGCAAAAGAGACTCCAATGCTAAAGTTAGGGTTTGTGTGTGTATAAGTCTCGTATAAGTAATGCACGTACCTTAGTGTGAATTAGGGTTCTCCTGGGCCTTGGGCCTGAGATCAGTTTATGACCTATCCGGAGGCCGAGCTGACGTGGCTTAGCGCGTATCCGAGGTCACTTTACACTGAGATGCCGAGATTGAGCTCGTCATAGCGGTACGGTTAGTACAATTGCCAAAGCAATCTCTGTTATAGAAATTAATTTAATTAAAAATTATAATAGATGTTAGTATGAGATTATTTAAGCAATTTGTGCTCATCCCAAAGGAAGACACAATTTGGCCAAATAATAACATGCTTGTGATGATAAATATGTTACAATTATAAAGTTACAATCATGTGAATAATAATCGGTCCAAAGAAAGCCTATTATTTGACAGAATTAATTGTCAATATTTGATCGTTGCATTGAGAGTACCACTAACAAGTTAATTTGTATGTCCAAAAACAAAGAATTAATATTGTACTCGGTATCTTGTAATGGGTCTATTATGTAAATAAGCTGCATATTTTATTTGTTTTTATTTTATTTTTATTTTACTTTGTGAGCATGTAATTAAAAAAAATTATCTATGTTCTATTACAGTTGTTGTTGCTAGTTCTGTTAACTTGTCTGCTCAAATTAATTGTATATCCATGCTTAATGGGACAAACTTTAAGGCTTGGAAGGAAGCAATTGAGATAATTCTTGGCTGCATGGATCTTGGTCTTGCACTTCGGGCTGAGAAACCCACTCCAACTCTGGAAAACCTGGATGAGGATAAGGTTGAAAAGTGGGAACGCTCAAACCGAATGTGTCTGATGATCATGAAGCGATCTGTTCAAGAAGTTTTTCGGGGCTCTATTTCTGATAGCCACAATGCTAAAGGTTTCCCTTGATGCTATTGAGCAGTATTTCACCAGTAATGAGAAAGCTTATGCAAGCAATTTGCTTGCTAAACTTATCTCTATGAGATACAAAGGTAAAGGAAATATAAAGGAGTATATTATGAAAATCTCTAATCTCGCGTCAAAACTAAAAGCACTAAAGTTAGAGTTGTCTGATGATTTGCTCATGCACCTAGTTTTGATTTCCCTTCCTACACACTTTGGACAATTCAAGGTGAGTTATAATACTCAGAAAGATAAATGGACCTTGAATAAACTGATTTCTCACTGTGTGCAAGAGGAGGAAAGGCAACAAAGAGAAAAGACTGAAAGTGCTCATTTAGCGTCAAACACTCAGAATAGGAAGTGAAAGAATAATAAGGATGTTGTAGAAATGACTTCTCAGCAAAAGAAAGTCAAAAAAGATGAGAACACACCTACTTGCTTCTTCTACAAGAAGCCTGGGCACATGAAGAAAGAGTGTACTTGTTGAGATTGGAGAGCCTGAGATTGATGAGATCACCTCTGAAGTTTGAAGAGTTTTGATGATAACAAGTGTGTACCAAGGACATCAACAACAAAGAAGTAAAAAAACAAAGTCAAAGGGAAATGCTATGTAATAGGAGTAGTTTATAGTGTATAAAATTGTTTTGATTGAGTTTATATTTTGTGTGTGCTGTGTGCATAAGCTAAATCTATATTTAATCTGATTAGGGAGTGTATGATGATGAATTTAAAGGTTAAAAAGTTATTTTGAGACTTAAAACAAAGTTTTGAAAACTAACTCAAAATAATCGATTATAATTAAATATAATCGATTATTCCAGCAAAAGGCAAAAAGGGATGCCTTGCTGCAATTATCGATTATTTGTGAAATAATCGATTATCCTAGAAATGACTCTCTGGAATAATCGATTATTCAACAAAATAATCGATTAAATTGTTCTTGGTGGATTTCCAGAAAATCTGAAGAACAAAATAATCGATTATTCTTTAAAATAATCAATTATCTGGTTCTGAAACTTTTATAAATAGTTTGAACATTTTGAAACTTTAGAACAAAGTTAGAATTGAGAATCAAAATTAGAAAAGCGTTTTTGTGAAGTCTTTGTGACAATCTTGGAGAGTTTTCTTTGTGAATCCAAGAAGAAAAACGTTTGTGAAAAGCTTTGAGAAAAGATCATCATCATCACATTCTTGAAAGGAAAGAGATTAAGATTTGCTTCTGAATTCCAGGTGAATTCGTTCCTT